ATCCAGCAGCTGTGGTTAACATCTCTCCTTGAAGGTATCAAAGGTACCTCATACTCAACATGTCCAAAATCAAACGTATGTTTCTTCACATCTTTATTCTCCTTCCTTCCAAAAATTGGTCCTTTTTGCTAGTTCATTTCTGTGACTGGCACCACTCTGCATCCAGTTGTACAAGCCAGGATTCTTCCTCCTATTTACCTCCATCTAATGATCCTTAAATCTCATTGAGTTTTTCTTAATATCTTACATCTGTCCACTTTTATCCAGCTCCAGCCTCATCTCACACAGTTTTAAATCCACTGACCTTTCAGTGCTGGGCTCATCCTTGCTATAGAGTATTTGCTACTCACTGCCTGAAATGGCTTATTTTCCCCTCAAATCATGTCTTCCTCAGCCTTTTTGACAAAGTCAGATCTATCACAGATGTTGATAGTGCTTTATACCTCCCTTCAAAGCATTTTCACAGTTGAAATGTCACATCTGTGTGACTGACTAATGCCTGCTTTTCTGTAGCCAACTCTAAACTTGATAAGGGTAGAGAGTATGTGTATTTTGTTCACCTTTTTATTCCCTGCATTTGATATATTCTCTACATTTATTGAGTTTGGTTTATTGAACGAATTAATAAGTGAGGGAATATACTTGATTATAGTTCTGATTAAGAAATGGAGCAAGTGGAATATATAATACTAAATAAAATAATCTAGACTCTCCTTATTGTGTTAGAGGATAACTTTCATTTTTTTGAGTCTTCTAGTTTTTCTGGAAGAGAGTCCAGCTACAAATTAAATGAATGAATCTATTGAAGGGTCTCCTATCTCAGACCCCCCCCCCCTTTTTTTATCCTCATCTGAGGACCATTTTTCCACTTTTTGTTCAGAGAGACTGGGAGGGAGGGAGGGAGGGAGGGAGGGAGGGAGGGAGGGAGGGAGGGAGGGAGACAGAGAGAGAGAGAGAGAGAGAAAGAGAGAGAGAGAGATCGACGTGAAAGGGACACATTGAGTGGCTGCCTCCTGCACAACCTAACCAGGGCCAGGGACAAACTGCAACCAAGGTACATGCCCTTAGTGGGAACCAAACCCGGGTCTCTTTGGACCGCAGGCCAATGCTCTAACCGCTAAGCCAAACCAGCCAGGGCTATCTCAGACCCCTTTTAAATAATTTTCTTATTTTTCAGTTACAGCTGGCATACAATATTATATTAATTTCAGGTGTATAACCCAGTTATTAGACATTTATATAATTTACAAAGTGATCATCCTAATAAATCTAGTGCACATGTGACACCATACTTAGTTATTACAATATTATTGACTATATTCCCTATGCTCTACTGTACATCCCCATGACTGTTCTGAACTATCATTTTGTACTTCTTAATTCCTTCACTTTTTCTACCCATCCCCCAACCCCCCTCCCATCTGGCAACCATCAAAATGTTTTCTGTATCTGTGAGTCTGTTTCTGTTTTGCATGTTTGTTTTAGATTACATATACATGTGAAATCATGTGACATTTATCTTTCTCTGATTTATTTTACTCAATACAATGCCCTCTAGGGCCATCCATATTGTTGCAGATGGCAAAATTTCATTCTTTTTTATGGCTGATTCATATTCTTCTTTATCCGTTCATCCATTAATAGACACTTAGGTTGCTTCATATCTTGGATAGTGTAAATAATGCTGCAATGAATATATGGATATATATGTATTTTCAGTTTTAGTGTTTAGTGTTTCTTTGGATATATGCCCAGAAGTGGAATTGCTGGGTCCTTCTTTGTCTCTTGTTATAGTTGTTTTTTAAAGTCTGTTTGTCTGGTATAAGTATTGCTACTCCAGCTTTTTTGTTTTTTAATTTCCATTTTCATGAAATATATTTTCCTGTTCCTTTCATTCTCTTTGTGTCCTTCGATCTGAAGTGAGTCTCTTATAGACAGAATATGTAAGGGTCTTGTTTTGTTATCCATTCAGCCATTGTGTGTCTTGATTGGAGCATTTAATCCATTTACATTTAAAGTAATTGTTGATAGATATGTATTCCCATTTTATTATTCATATTTTTTATCTTTTTTTTTTTCTTCTTAAAGAAGACCCTTTAACATTTCTTATAATACTGGTTGGTTGGTGATGAACTCCTTTAGCTTTTTCTTATTTGGGAAGCTATTTGCCCTTTGATTCTAAAATGATAGTTTTGCTGGGTAATCTTGGTTGTAGATCTTTGCTTTTCATCACTTTGAATATTTCTTGCCAATCCCCTTCTGGTCTTCACAGTTTCTGTTGAGAAAGCAGCTGACTGTCTTTTTGTTGTTGTTAATCCTCACCTGAGGATATTTTTTCACTAATTTTTAGATAGAGTGGAAGGGGAAGGAGGAAAGGAGAGAAAGAGAGAGAAACATCTATGTGAGGGAGACACATTGATTGGTTGCCTCCCACTTGACCTCAACCAGGGATCATACCTGCAACTCAGATACATGCTCTTGACTGGGAATTGAACCTGAGACCCTTTGGTCCTCGGGCCGATGCTTTAACTACTGAACCAAACTGGCAGGGCATGACAGTCTTATGGGAGCTCCCTTGTAGGTAACTAACTGCTATTCTCTTGCCGCTTTTAAGATTGTTTTTTTCTTTCACCTTTGGCATTTTAATTATGATATGTCTTATTGTGGGTCTCTTTGGGTTCGTCTTGTTTGGGATTCTGTGTGCCCACTGGGCTTATACATCTATTTCCTTTGCTAGGTTGGGTAAGTTTGCCATCATTGATTTTTCAAATAATTTTTCAATTCCTTGCTCCTCTCCTTCTGACAGCCCCATGATGCAAATGTTGGCACCCTTGAATTTTCCCAGAGGCTCCTTTTTTTTTTTTTTTTCTGTTCTGATTGGTGTTTTCTGCTTCATCTATTGTACTATTGATTTCCTGTAATATATTCTTGATTTCTGTTATTGTATTCATTTCTTTTTTTTTTTTTAATGCTTTCTATCTCCATTTTTATGTTTTTTGTTTTTCTGTTGAAGTTTTTACTAAGTTCATCTGCTCTTCCCCTAAGTTTATTGAGAATCCTTATAACCATTGTTTTGAACTCTGTATCTGGTAGATTGTCTCCATGTTGTTTAGTTTTTTTTCTGGAGTTTTGCTCTCTTCTTTCATTTGGGACATGCTTCTTTGTCTCCTCATTTTGGCTGCCTCCCTGTGTTTGTTTCTATGTATTAGGTAGAGCTGCTATGTCTGTGGGTTTGGTAGAGTAGCCTAATGTAGGTTTCCTGTAGAGCCCAGTGGTGTATCCTCCTTGGTCACTGTAGCTGGGTGCTCCAGGTCCACCTCCCATGTGGGCTGTGTGCACCCTCCTGTTGCAGTTGAGTCTTTATTGATGTTGGCATGTCAGTGTGAAGGATTCACACCCAGACCAATTGGCTGTGAGGACTGGCATTGATTCATGGTGGAGCATCTGCTGTGCAGGGGCCAACTCCACGGAGCAAGACTAGCTTCAGTGAGGCTCTGGTGCCAGTGAGTTAGTCCCTTGAGTGTGTTGCTCATGGAAGTGGTTGGGTGTTGCTTTGGTGTGGACTGAAGTTGTCCACTGGGTGCATTGGCTCAGGGGCCTCCCAGGAGGTGCAGGCCAAGGTCAGCTGCTGCTTGTGCCCTGCCCATGGCCACCTAGCATGAGTTACAAAGCAATCTGCAGATGGCTGCTACTTACGCTGGACTTGGAATTGCCCGGGAGAGTCCAAGCTGTGAACCAAGGCCAGATGCCACTGTGTTTGGAGCTTGTGGGCCTTTAAGAGATTTTATCAAAGTTTGCAGTAGGTGCCAAGGAAGGCCATTTGTATGGAAATACTTACTTAGGAACCAGCTTGGGTGGGCCTGCATGTTGGGTGGGGCTGGGTCCAGGGTGGAGCAGACAGTGTTAGCCAGGTAGATTTAAGACTCAGATGTGGCACCTGCCTGCCTGCTCTGGGGGAAGGGCTCAGCAAAGGAACAGTGGCCTCTGCCAGCATTTTTGTCTGGGGTAAAACTGCCCCTCCAGTCCTTACCTTAAAGGTATACAGTTCACTTCCACCTTGTATGTTCCTGGTGCCTCTCAAGCTTCTGCCCCAGCACTGGGGCTCCGAGCAAGTGCTTCTGAGTAAGTCCGTGTTTGAGTCCTGTAAGAGGAACACCTAGGCCCTGACCAGTTTGGCTCAGTGGTTAGAGTGTTAACCCACGGACCAAAGGGTTGTGGGTTTGATTTCTGGTCAAGGGGACGTACTTGGGTTGCAGGTTCGATTTCCAGCCCTGGTCAGGGTCGTGTGGGAGGCGGCAACCAATCGATGTGTCTCTCTCATATTGATGTTCCTCCCTCCCTCCCATTCTACCTTTTAAAAAAAGGACACCTAGGATTCCAGCAGCTCTCATTCTTGGTCAGGCACAGTTTCCTCTGGTTTTCATATCCAGAAGTTAAGGGGACTTCTTTTACATTGTGACTTTAATTTGCAGATTTTAATAGCTAATGATTTCAAACATCTTTTCATGGGCTCATTTGCCATCTGCATTGCTCTTTTGGGGAAATGAATGTTGCCCATTTTATTGGAATTTTTAAAAAAAGTTCTTTATGTATTCCAGGTACAAGTAATTTATTAGATATGTAATTTGTAAATATTTTCCTTCAATCTGTGACTTCTTTTTTATATTCATAACAGTGCCTTTGGAACAACAGAGGCTTTTAATCACAAAGGCTAATTCATCAATCTTTTTACAATTTGTGCGTTGTTTTTTTTTCCTATCTAAGGAATATTTGCCTAACCCAAGGTCTCACAGATTTTGCTATCTTTTTTTAACCTTTTCCCCTACACTGTCTGCTTCCTCCATATCCCTCTCCTCTCACACACTTACCCACTGCATTTCACCTTCAACTTAAGAATGTTGGAAAAATTAAATAGAAATAGATGCAAAGTTATAAAGATTTATATTTAAGTATTCTGGCCTATAATCATTTTTTTATTTTATTATTTTTAAAAACCTCACCTGAGGATATATTTTCATTCATCTTCAGATAGAGTGGGAGGAAGGGGAGAGAGATAGAGAAACATCGATGTGAGAGAGAGACATCGACTGGCTGCCTCCACACGACCCCAGCCAGGGCTGGGAACTGAACCGCAACTGAGGTGCGTGCCCTTGACCAGAATCAAACCCACGACTCTTTGGTCCTCGAGCTGGCAACTGCTGAACCAAACCGGCCATGTCTGGTCTGTAACCATTAAAAGCAAAAACAAAAAACAGACAGATTTTAGAGAACATAAAAAAGTCATATTTTAATCCCAGATATTGCACTAACAAGTCTGTTTGCTTTGCCAGTGATCAAAAGAGGAAGCCTTTCATATGAAGTAGCTCAGAATATAAATTTATATGTATATCTAGCTTTTCTGGAGAGAACTTTTGTTCCGTGACACCGCATGCCTTTGAGTGTCCCTTTATTCCAGTTACTATATTCTGTATGACGTACCTTTGCATCCAGTGACTGTTTTGTAACTACCATTTTTTTTTTTTTTTGGTAACTACCAATTTGTACATCTTAATCCTTTCACTCTTTTCACCCAGCCCTCCAACCCCTCTCCCCTCTAGCAACCATCTTTGTTTTCTGTATGTATGAGTTTGTTTTGGTTTTGTTCTTTCGATTCCGCATGTAAATGAAATCATGGTATTCGTCTTTCTCTGTCTGACTTACTTCACTTATCATAATACCCTCTAGGTCCATTCATGCTGTTGCAGATGGTTAAGATTTCATTTAAAAAAAATTTTTTTTTTTCCTTTATTGATTTTAGAGAGAGAGGAAGTGAGAGGAGAGAAAGAGAGAGAGCGAAACATCAATGATAGAGAACATTGATTGGCCGCCTCCTACATGCCCCCCACTGGGGATTTGGCCCACAACCTGGGCATGTGTCTTGACCGGGAATCAAACTGGCGACCTCTTGGTGCATAGGTCGATGCTCAACCACTGAGCCACACCGGCTGGACAGATTTCATTTTTTTTAATGGTCAGTAGTATTACATTGTATATACGTACCACAACTTTTTTATCTACTTGTATGTTGATGGGTACTTGGGTTGCTTTCATGTCTTGGTTCTTGTAAATGATGCCTTTGGTTCTTGTAAGTGAACATAGGGGTGCATATCTCTTTTCGAATTAGTGTTTTCGGTTTCTCCAGATGTGTATCCAGAAGTAGAATTATTGGGTTATAAGGCAGTTCCATTTTTAATTTTTTGGGGAACCTCTATACTGTTATCCATAGTGGTTACACCAGTTTGCAGTCTCACCAACACTGCAGGAGGGTTTTCTATTTTCCACTTTGTCTTTTTCATAGATAAAGTCTCTGACCTGTTCTGAATTGTTCAGGTAAATACATCTGTGCTGCATGCCATGGAATATGCTACATAAAGTTGTCCTTGTAAGGGGCAGCATTGACCATCAGCCTGGTCCTTTAAAGCATATGCTCACGTGGCTTTCATGTGGGTTGTATGTGCAAAGTGAGTGTTTCCTCCATTTACCTCCTCTGAATGCACTTGGCCAGTCTCTCTCCTACTCAGCAGCAACAGGCCTTTGAGCCTTGGTATCAGCTGCTCAGTGGATGACTTCCTGCCTCTCTGAGGACTGTCAGACTGCTCCAAAGTTCCCCAAGATGAACTCCTTATGTGCCAGAAATTTTTCTAGTCAGACTATCCCAAATGACTTTCCAACTTTGGTGACAAGTCATTTTATCATATTTTAACAGATGGAGGTGTGGGGTGTGGGCGGGAAATAGAAACTAAAGATCAGGGAAGTTTATGCCCTGGCCGGTTTGGCTCAGCGGTTAGAGCGTCAGCCTGCGGTCCAGAGAGACCCGGGTTCGGTTCCGCTAAGGGCGCGTACCTCGGTTGCAGTTTGTCCCCGGACTCGGTTGGGGTCGTGTGGGTGGCAGCCACTCGATGTGTCCCTTTCACATCGATGCTTCTCTCTCTCTCCTCCCCCTCTCTCCCTCCTGCTCTACCTGAAGATAAATGCAAAAAAATGTCCTCAGGTGAGGATAAAAAAAAAAAAAGATCAGGGAAGTTTATAAAATTACTGTCAGAGCCAACACTAGGTCTCAGATCTTAGATACCCTTTTCTTTTCCAGCGTGGTTCCATGAGTTTGTTTCTGAATGGCTGATGAGTATAACAGTTTTGGAATAGGATTCAATGGGACAGAGAGACAAGAATTAGCCCAATAAACTGTGATAGTATAGGCTCCTAGAGAACTCATGTCTTTGGGCCTTGGGAACTGAATATGAGTGGTTGAAATGAACTGGGAATCACTGGTTTCTTAAACTCCTGTGGCAATCAGTATCTTAGCTTTACCTTAGCATTTAATATAGTAATTGAATAGAAGGCAGTTAAGCCTCGTGTGTTTGATGGATGTGAGATAATAGCTCATTGTTGTTTCAATTTGCATTTTTCTAATTATAATGAATTGAGCACTTTTCTACATGTTTATCAGCTATTCAGGTTTATTTTCTGCAAAGTGATTTACTTTCCTGCTGGGTTGTTGTGTGTTTGTAGGAGTTATTTGTATATTTTTGATGCTATTAATTTTTATGTGTTTCACAACTATTTTTCTAAGTCTGATTTATAAAATTCTTCATCATAAAATTTCATATACATATTCTTACAGTTCATTTTCATTAATGTTATTTTTTTCCTTTTCTCTCTATAGGTTATGAACCTGATTTCTGATGAAACTGGATTGGAAAAATTTTCATGATCTTTGTATATTTATATATAAATATATATAAAAATTTTGCATTTGACTTAAAGTGCCATGAGAAAATTTGCATATTGCAAGGTGGTCCTAGCCACCTCCTTGATTTGGGTACTCTTGGATATGTTCCTGCTGCTTTACTTCAGTGAATGCAACAAATGTGATGAAAAAAAGGAGAGAGGACTTCCTGCTGGGGATGGTAAGTGACATTTTATAATAAAACTCATTTTGTTAAGTATTTTACTGTGGTTTTTTTGTTTAAGTAATTTGGATACTATAAAACTTTAACATTTTTAGATTAATAGTAATTCCTGCTTTCCTATATATGATGATCACATTTTAAAAATATGTTACTGATTTTTTTTTTCTTTTTTAGAGAGAGAAAGGGAGAGGGAGTAAGAGAGGGAGAGAGAAACATTGATCAGCTGCCTCCTCATGCCCCCTACTGGGGATTGAGTCCGAAACCCAGGCACGTGCCCTGACCAGGAATCGAACCAGTGACCCGAATCAATCCACTGAGCCACACTGGCCAGACCTTACTGTAATTTTTATAGATGGGATTGTGTAACCAGTTCTGTTTCCTTTATCATGAGAGGATTGCCTATAAATAGGCTCAGTTGCCAGCCTATTATAATACCTAAATTACCCTCTAACTTTTAAAATTTCACTTTTCCCATAGGTTTTAATATTTTTATTTAAAATCATCCTATTTGCTAACTTTCCTGGTTTACTTTATGGCCCTGTTGTTTAGTAACTTTGTTGAGAAACAAAGTGTTGCTTTCTGAACTGTTATTAGAGCTGTAGCTCTGTCTACATTTAAATGAAAGGGCAGGTATTCATCAGTAAGAGACTAGGATATTCTTTTCCCAAAGAGAACACATTATCTTTCCCCTCATCCCACCTTCATTCATTGCTGTTTATAGTGCGAGCTCATGGTGTGCTTTCTTACATGCAAAGGCATGGAAGTAAGAAAGAAGGAGACCTGTAGTGTGTGAAGATCCACTTGGTGCTGGGCATTGTACTAGGTGCTAGTTAGACAGTTCAACAATAACAACAAAAAGACAAAATTTCTTTCTGCGATTGGAATCGCAGTCCAATAGGAGAGAAAGAATAATAGTAAAATACTGATACAATAAATAGCGTACTAGAGTTGTAAGAGCAGAAAGGAAGGAACTCCTTGGGGCGTCTGGGAAGGTGCAGTAAGGAAGTAATGTTGAAGTTGAGTAATACCAGGGTGAATAGATGTTTCTTAGGTTTGGTGGATGAGGAGAACACCTTCCAAACAAAGGAAAGAAGCATATGCAAGCTAAGCAAGTGCAAGAACAGAGTTGATGGATAGGAGAATGTGAGGCAAGAGCACAGATGAAGCTTGGGTGGTTAGCAGAGGCCACATCACAGAAGGCCTTAATGAGATGCTAAGGGTTTTGAACTTCATCCTGTAGACAGTGGCATGCCTGCTGGATTTTTTAAATTAATTAATTAATTAATTAATTAATTAATTATTTTTCAATCCTTACTCGAGGATATTTTTGCATTTATTTTCAGATAGAGGGAGGGAGGGAGGAAGAGAGAGAGAGAGAGAGAGAGAGAGAGAGAGAGAGAGAGAGAGAGAGAGACATTGATGTGAGAGAGACACATCGATTGGTTGCCACCTGCACAACCTCAACCGGGACTGGGGACGAACCACAACTGAGGTACATGCCTTTGGCCAGGATCAAACCCAGGACTCTTTGGTCTGTGGGCTGATGCTCTAACCACTGAACCAAACAGGCCAGAGCCCACTGATGGATTTTAAACAAGGGATAAGTAACCTGATGGGATCTACACTTTTCAGAAGTTTGGTGGTCATGTGGCTGATATAGTAGAAGAGATTAAGACAGCAGAGACCAGTTGTGAAGTAGGTGTAAAGATTTGGAGAAGTTCTCAGAACCTACACTGAAATGACACTGGAGGTGAAAAGGAAATAAGATACATGAAAAGTATGTAAATAGTGGAATTTGCATACTGTGGAGAGCCATTGAATATAGGTCCAAGGTGACTCTTAGGTCTCCCTGTCTAGATGAATTGCTATGAGGTAGGGCCCCCAGAGGCGGAGCAGCTTTGATGAGAGAAGGTGGCTGGGTGTGTTGGGTTTGGAATATTTAACTCTGAGGTGCTGGTAGAGATGTTCTACAGTAGAGAGTGGTTGAGGGTGGAGCACACAGGTGGTTGTAGGTTAAGCCTTGTCTGTACACGAGACTGCACTGGAAGTGTACATAAGAGTTTGAAGAGATAAACCCAGTGTTGG